CCGCCGGTGCGCCCGGTGGCCCGGCCGGAGAGCGCGGCGCCCCCTCGCGGCCACACGGGGCAGCGCCGAGCGGGTGGAGCCGCGGGTCCCTGCTGGGCCGCGCTGCCCATGCCCACCTCCCCTGCAACCCTGGGCGGCCTTGCCCAGCAGGCCTCTCCTCTGTTCCCAGGCCTCGAGGTCAAGACCAAACGTCCAGTCCCGCGCTGTAGCTCCGCTTTCACCGTCTGGGGGAAGGTCCCACAGGCTAGAACCGGCCCTCTGTGATCACCGATGCTACCCGCCTGAGCTGGTCCCAGGAGGCCTCTGACCAGAACTCCACTTGACCAGCTTCTGGCATCCTGGGCCCCAGGCTACCCTGGCCTCAGGGCTGTCCTGGGCTTTCCTCTGAGCTCTTCTACAATAGCCATTGAACTTTGGGTGGCCTGTGTCCCTGAATCCTGTGGGGATGGGGTGGGCATCAAAAGGACGGTGAAGATTGCACACAGCGCCCCCTCCCTCTCTCATCCCAGAGAACCAGGCATGTTTCACAGTTCTGAAGACGCTGGGGTGCTAAGAGCAAAGAGTTTACTGGCTGATGAAACATAAAAACCCAAAGTATGTTGCTTTCAGGAATAGCTAATCTAGGAGCTAAAACAAAATGAGTAGGAATTCACCTCTCCCACCCACCAGCCTCTCTGGAAGAATGGCCTCCAGTCGACACCCTCAGTAAGGGCACCTCCGTCAATAGGTCCCCAATAGCTCAGGGCTACTGGGGACAGGTTTCAAGGATTCTACAGACCTGGAGAGCCAGGTTAACAGGCTGTGTGTTGACACTGTGGATCTGGGGCTGTAGCTAGTCCTGTGTCAACTTGGGATGGTGAATGTCTCTGCTTCAAGCATGCCCCAAGAGCTGTTTCTAGAAGAATGGACAGGTAAAAACTAGAGTCTAGTCCCTCTCCCTCCCATATACACAGTTGGGGAAACCCAGGCCTGGAGCAAGCTGGAATCTGCTGGAGGCACACAAGTGTGCTAAGACCAATGTGGGTTGGATGGACTAGGCAAGGAGGCAGGCAGTGGGCAAGAGACAAGCTGGCCACAACAAGGGTGATGTCTGAGACAAATACCTAGGGTCAGGGGTGGACAGAGGAGAGAGGAAGTGAGGTAGACAGACTAAGAGGGGATGCTATGGTGTCCAGCAGTAGACACCCCTTGAGTTGGGGCCTTGGGTGAATGCTCTGGCTTGTGCTGGGCACAGTCCCCAATCTTCTCTAATTCACCTCAAACCCTGGCCTTCAGGGACAGGTTGCAGGACACCTCACAGGACACAGACTTTACCTTGTCACACTGTACAGCCCTTAGTCACCCATGTGTGATCTTGAGCTGTGACCATGGATAATTTCATCCTTTGCCTGCTGTGCCAGTCAGTGCTGGTGCATCTCCCAAAGGCGTGCTGGGAGACTAAGCAAGAGACGTCTGTAAGGTAAAACTCTGAGGGCTGTCCCACTCAGTTGTGACATGTCCACTCTGGGCAGCACTGAGTGGCAGTAGCTGTACAACTTATTGGAGCAGAGACCATCCTCTTCCCATCTTGCCCAATTGAGGCATCCACCCGCCCCCACCGCCCCAGGGGCAAATGGCAGGGTCCACTAAGACAGGTTGCCATGCTGGGGGTTGGTGGGAGAGGGGTACTTGGAGTCATGCAGTGAGTCAGGGCTGTGCTCTGGGACAAGGAAAGTGCTGTGTCCCCTGGAGTCCCCTGCAAGTCTGTCCCTGCCAAGTCTGCAGCTGCACAGGTCAAGGTTGTGTTGCAGATATGGCACCTACCACAGTCACCACTACCTCCCCCTACTCCCAGTTCTCTGAGCCTCAAGGCCATCATGGAGTCCTGCTCTGGGCTATCTCCACCTTCAGAGGACACTGACTACAGGTACTGTGGTTGGGTCTTGAGAGATGTCTGGCGCCCCCTACCCAAGAGCACTTGATCCAGCAAGGTTCTTCCTCTGCTCCAGCCCACTGCCCTATCCCAACTTCCCTTCCCACTCTAAGATGTGCCCAGAGGTTCGTCCTGTAGTGTCAGGCTGGTGTTGGGACAGAGAGTGAGTTGGCTCTAGACTTGTCAGCTCAGCCTGCCCTGACACCCACTTGGTCCTGTGGCAGGCTTCTTGTGGTATTTTCCAGGCCTATGTGTGCTGGGCACCATCCATGGCGGGGCCGGTAATCTCCAGTGAGTGAGATGCATGTGGATTCCTGCCCTCCTTCTCCAGGACTAAAGGCCATTAAGTAACCAATATGGGGAGGTGGTTGGATGGGGCTGGGGCTGCTGAGGGAGGGCTCAGCAAAGGCCTGTCTGGGATGCTGTGTTAGGCTGAGACCTGGATGATGAGGAGTCTGCTGCGGAGGCCTATGAAGAGTACTCTGGGCAGAGGGGAGACAGGGGCAAAGGCCTTTTAGGGGAAGAGTGCTAGCAGCCAAGGTAGAAAGGGGCAGGGCTGAGGTACCTCCTGGATAGGTCCTGTACCCTGGGTGTAGCCCTAGGAGCCCAGCAGAAGGTGATGGTACTGTCCACAGATGTACTGGCCTCTCCCATTCACAGTGACTCTGGACCACAGAGGTTCATCCCACCAGCTGAACACAGGGTTGTCAATGAGAGCGGACTGGAGGGAGAGGCAACAGGCCGAGAGCTGAGAAGTACAGACCCTGGGCAGGGGCAGGAGATGGGGTGGACATGAGGGAGGGCTGTTTCCAGGGGAAAGGTGATCTAGATGACTCAAGACAGGGGAACGTAAGAGGAGTGAGGGCCAGTGTTTTGGTGGGGGGAGGCAGGGGAGCTTTCCCCAGGGGGCTGAGGAGTCTTTTCATAGCAGGTGGTGAGACTGTGGGGCCAAGGGAGCTCTTGGGGGATACCTGGAGGTGGCTGGACTTGTGGGTGCAGCCAAGGTGGGCCCTTGGGGGTAAAGGAAGGAGACCTTCAAGTTTCAGCAGCTGCAGTCAGTGTTAGGAGCCCGCATGGCCTTGGCAGCACACCTGCACCAGCCCTTGGCACAGCTGCAGCAGGTGACTCAGGCTGACAGCAAGCAGGACCACCAATAAAATCCAAGAACAATGAGGACAGAGCTTTGGGCTCCAGCCAAAACATTTTATTAGCAGAACCCATACGCTGTCCATTCTTGGGTCTGCCGAAAGCTCCCCCAAAGTTACTGCAAGGGCAGAGCTCTAGGAGGAAGTCATACAGCCAGGCATTAGGAGGGTGTGTACGTGCCACATTCTCTTAATGTCTATAGACCAGGGCTCTGCCTTCTCAGAGCCCTGGTGAAGACTGGGGAGGAGGAGCAAGAGAGAAAGCCACTATGTGCTTGCATATGCATGATGTGTGTGCACATGGGGAGTGTATACAAGGTGTGGTGTATCGTGCTGTACTATGCAGATGCATGGCACACGTATGCAGCACATATGTGTACAGTGTGTAGTGCATAGCATGAGTATTGTGGATATAAGCATGTTGGTGTGTGTAGTGTTGGATGCATGCATGTGTGGTGTATGTGTGCAACATGTGAAAAACATGTGTGGAGTAAGCACGGGTTTGAGTGCGGGTGCGGTAGGTCTCTAGCACTGTCCTGAGTCTGGCCCGAGGATAAAGGACAGTATCACAGATGGTACACCCTGGCTGTGGAAACTGAGATAAGGTTAGGGATTCCAGGGAGCCAGAGCTGGAACAGGGAGAGTGGAATAGGGAGGGAGGGTCAGATCATAAAGGGTGCATTGTTCGGATGGTGACCATCAAGGCCAGCTACAGGCCTGTCCTGCTGGAGATGGTGGGAACTGTGCTGAATGTGGGTGGGTGAGATTACAGAGCAGGGCACACAACCTGCTCGTTACAATGCACACCTGGGACTGCTCAAAGTCCTGTGGGTTTCCCAATGAGTCCATGAGGTCATCTCCCCCCTCTACCACCCATTCTAGGGTCCCCCAAACTACAGGCAGCACCTTTGCCAGTTTCTGTGGCATGCCCAAGGTTGACCTGCAGGGTTAGAGCACAGTTAACCATGCCCCTAGTGGGCCATGGTTACTGTACTTGCAAATCTATGGTTATAAGTGGAAATGGATGCATAGAGGTACCGTGGCCTCTGAGTCCTAGATAGGGGCCCCAGTCCTTTCATAGGGCAGAAGCTGCCTCCTTGTGGTGGGCAGGGCTGACTGCCTCCTCTTAGAATGTTCCCAACAGGCTTATGTGTTGTATTCTTGGCTCCAGGTTGGTGGTGCTCTCTTGGGAGGTTGTGGAATCTGGGGAGGTGGGGCTGAGCTGCGGGCAGTATGTCACTTGGGCATGCATTCATCAGCCCCAAGTCTGATCCTCTCTGTTCTCTCTCCACTGCACACCTGCCATGATGATGCTCTGCCCAAAGGTATGGGGCAAGTGACCATGGACTGAGCTTTCTGAAAACATGCATCAAAATAAATAATTCCTTCCTTTTTTGTTGCTTCATCAGCTATTTGGTTATAATGATAAAAAAAAAAACTTCCTAACACAGAAAAGTGGGGTCATGGTTGGAACTAAATCTGACCATTTGGTTTTTAGGCCTTTGTGGGAGAAATTTAGAAGAATCTAGAAAAGTAGGCTTAGGAAGTTTTAGAGTGTTGTATGGGCACTTAATGGGAAATTCTGGT